TTTGCTGTTGTACCTGCCTATTTCTCTTCTGACAACTGGCTGCTCCTACCAGTGGGAGCAGATTCTGTGTTTTCATCCTTTTTCCAAGGCCAAGTTTGAGCCATCTTTGTTGTGTACAAGTTCTTCAAAGGCAGCTGCTTTTTAGTCAGATTTCTTTCTCAGCCCTTTTCAGCTGGTAATGTTTCAAGCATGGAATGGTCAGAATTTAGGACCTGTATTTGCTCTCATGGCTCCAAAATAACAGGAGGTGCTCCTCGGAGAATTCCTTGTCTACGTTTTAGCCTGCTGATGATCTTTAAAAGCCTTCAAACAATGCAGCAATACTTCCTACACCTTTACTGTATTCTTAAACATTTTCCCATTTTTTTCCCCTCTAACTTGTATTTGATCTATAAATTCAAAAAGCGTGCAATGAGCCTTTATGTTTGTGAAGTACATGTAACTTGATGGAGCTATAAAAGTGGTCCGTGGAAAGCTAAAATAGTAATAATAAGTTGGGCATATGATGATCTAGAGTTGTATAATATGCCCATTATCATACGATCTGTGCAGTTTTGTCATAGCTTTTTAGCACCTGAAAAACTGAATATAGGCCAAATGTTGTATCTCTATTTTACGTGATGGAGAAGGGAGACAGATTTTATCTGCAATATGCTCAGGCTCACTTTCTAGCATTTTGGAAATGATTCTTTAACAAATGCTTCGGGGAAAAAAAAAAAATACAGACTTCTTGGATTAAAAAGCTAAAAATCATAAAGCTGAGAACGTATTACTTAGATGAAGATTTATGTGCCCAAGTGATACCAATAACAATTTTCCTCACCCCTTTCTTTCCCCCAGATCTGTGGCTAGGAAGGTCAGATTTTTTGACTGCTATATTGTGGCAACAGGGCAAATCTTGTTTGTCTAGCCCAGCCTTCACTGTATGTCACAGTGCTGCCATTAAAGTAGGTAACCAAAATGTCATTCGTTCAGGATGATGAGTAAGGTCAGAGCTTCCATGTCCACATCAGACTGCATGCACAGAGGGCTGAGTTGAGACTAGTCTCTACTTCCCCAGTTAATACCCCAGCAACCTTGACCTTGTAGCAAGGTTAGGCACATGGTGGAAGGGAAACGTGCAAAATTGTCATGTGTGCTGCATCCCTCCCCAGAGGCTGTAAGTTTCACCTCTCTGATATGTTTAGTTGGCTCAGAGTAAAAGTTCTTGAGAGCAATCACAATCCTAGGTTTCATGTGGCAATCTGCAGAAGGAATAGCCCAGCTCACAGGCAGAGCACCCACGGAAGCTCCCACAGGGAGTCAACCAGGTTCAACTGGCCCTCATCACGATCATACTACTTAAATAAAATCTTTACACATTTACAAATGTATTTATAAATAGAAGTATAAATCTGATGTGGATAACCGGGCAACAATTCTCATTAGGTAGCAAAGTTTCACAGGGCTGCTGCAGAGCCTGCTCCAGCCTAATCAGTGGAGAGATCGCTGGTGCCATCTGCACTCAGCAGGGACCAGGTCCTCGAGAGAGAAGGCAGCAAATAAAAACAGTAACAGCAGTAAATAAAAATAATATGCAGCAACACAAACATAGTGAACCAAGACTCTAAACCAGGTGGATTTCAGTGAAAGCTACTGGATCCTTCTAGACATAAACATTAGTTTTTTTTATGGCAACTGTAATTAGCAAGGCTTTTTAGTGTTACAACCAGGTCGAGGTGAAATCAAGTGTTTTCCACCAACAAAATTAAGACAGGATTTTTAAGAAATACGCATAGAATGTTAACTAACAGACAGCAATCACTCGTTTTTATAGTCTGTAAATCAAACTGCATCAAAAGTGTGTATCAGCTGAACCAATTAATAAATGGAATTCCAGGAGTCTTGTAATTGAGCCAAGGCAACTTTGAAATAATTACATTTGTTCTGCAAAAGATCTCCATAATGTAATATGGAATATAAATGTAGTTCTTTCCTACACTTCTTTCTCTGCGTGGAAATATGGAGACAGAAAATCCCTTATTTCTGTTGATCCTTTGCATTGGTATTTTAACTTAAGTAGTGGGGTAGACAGATCTTAATCAGCAAAATATGAGTTGACTTATTTCTGTGCTAAACCATCTCCTTCAATTCCTGTCTTTTGGTTTGGTTTCAAGACAGTTGTCAAGAACTTAACTTCTGTAACCCATTAAACAGTGACAGAGGTGGGTATGACTATTGCCAAAACAAGATAGTTTGATTTCTTTGCATTGTTTTATATTTCTTTCTCAGAAAGACAGAAAAAAAAAAAGAACAACTTAATGCAGTTAGAGCAGCACCTAAGTCTGATGGTAATATGAACCATGATTGTTTTTCAAACTAATGGATCATCAAAAAATATGGAATTTCGTTCATCAAGACTTTGCAAACATTGTTTTAAATATAAAAATGAGAGCTGATAGGAGGGTGGAAATGAAAGGTTTTATCAAATATGGTGAAAACTCAAGATCTTTATTATGACAGATACACACCCCAAGAACCAACTTTCCACAAAGTACCTCCTGTATAATTATTAAATAAAAACACTTACTTATTCAGTATTCAGCTTTTAAATCCTGAATAAGAGAAGTACATATTGAGAGAGAGGCACTTAAAATGTTTCCATGGTTACAGGACGATGCCTATCAGGTCCGTGTTTTTATCTGAAAGTGTGCCCCTGCAGAGACATACAGCTTGGTGCGTGGTTGTTGATACAAGTAAGCAAATAGGAACCTTGTTTATTTTACAAAGAGCTCCTGACCCACACTATTTCCCATCACTTTTGTAGAAGGAACATTTTTCTCATTTTAAACAGCACATTGTAATAAAATACACATTTTTGAATTTTTTTGAAAGTTGTATTTGAGTTTCTGACACAGTTTTTGAGCAGAAAACTGAGTACTTAGGCATGCTTATTACCAATCCTGGCAAACCTGTGCTGGTGACTCTTTTTCTTAACTCTGAATGAAGACATACTGGTGCAAATGACACCCTTCTATTTCAATCACCAGAAGCCACTTCCAGGAAGGGAATAAAAAAAAAAAAAAAACCAAAATGCAAGGGGCAGATATAAATAATAAAATACCCTTACCTTACTCCAACAAGGATAAGAACACCAAGTTTTGATCACTTCAGAAGAGTCTCTAATTACTTTAGCTCCCATTTAAAATGTGGTTGGTTCCTAGATTCCCACTACATAAGTGCTACGCACATGCAATTTTGACATCCAGTTTCTCAACACTACATGCTTTCTAATTTTGGGAATGAGACTAACACCTCCTATTTGAGAGGCTTTAGTCTTCTAATATTTCTTTGGATAAAAAAACACAATGAGTTAGTGAAAAGAAACGCAATCAACTTTAATACTTAAGACAGTTTAATAACCTGAATTGAAATATGTGTGTGCTGTATTTCCATTTAAAAAAAAAAAAAAGTTTCTTTCCAGACATAATTAATAGAACAAAACCCAGTCTTGTTCAGAGTTTATTCTTGGAATACTGTAATTTTAACATCTATGTAAAAGAGGAAAGCTTTTTGCCACATGCAAGCAATCCTTGGCCACCCTTCTCAAAGAAGCGATTCCTGGATAAGATGATCCAAGTTGCTATTTTCCACTTGAACTCGCAGCGTGCTTTGAAGGGGGGACAGCAATACTGTGTCTGTTTGCCAGCGCTGACAAAAGTCTGCTTGTCAGTGATACCTTCTACAGCTAAATTTACTCAGGACTGACAGAGGCAGGTGCCCCCTTGGCCTGCCAGACACTTGTGCGCCCGCATCACGCAGCCTACAGGTCAACATCCAAAGGAGAAAAAGCCCGTGGCTGCAGAGCAGAGGGTGAGTGAGGCAAACACAACCCAAACTGGGGGGCTTCTCTTCAAAGCCAGCTGGTCTGGCTTTATTCTACGGGAATTTTTTTTACCTGCCCGTTTGATCAAGAAGCCCTCAGCAGGTGCTGACGGGTACAACTTCCTGGAGAAGCAGAAGAAGGGCACTGGTGAGTTTTAATAGAGAAAAACATTAAAATAATGATTCTTAAGTCTTTGGAGTCATTTTGCTTGCTGCAGCGCTGGGTGGCTCAGCTCTGCACTTGCAAAGCTGTCTTCAAGAGAAAGCAGATAAGCTTTGTAGCATGCTTTGCGTTTTGTTTGATACGGTGCTTGATTTTAGCTTCTGTTGCCAAGAAAAGTTTCTTGAAAGTGACGGGGTATTTATAGTCAGTTTCTGTCTAAATGTCTCTATGAATCTGAATAGGAAGAACACAGAGGATTACATGCAGGAACATCAGAATCTAGGCAATGCTGGGGTGTACTCTGTGCCCCCCTGCACCTGCCTCCTTTAAAATAAATTAGTTATCCTGGTGATTTAAAAAAAAATAGAAAGGATGTGTTGTCTGTAGACTGTTTCCAGTATCTGGAGCTTCAGTGGACATTTCTGAGCCTCACAAACTCCTTCTTGAACATTAACATTAGTTTGTAAGAAATGAGTGAGGTGAACGATGTTTAGAACATTTTAGAAGTCTTGGTAATCAAAGGATTATCACACAAAACTGCTGGCGTTTTGCTGAAGTGAAAAGGTAAATTATAAAACAGGCTACGTGAGAGCACTACTTGGCACGATGAGGTTCAAATATATCATGGATTTACACAGTCTTTCTCATTGTAAAACCACAAATTATGCCAGTGTGTGTATTCTCTAATTTGCGTAAGAGCTGGGAAACTAGATGAAGGGGATAAAAAGATTTATTTTTCTAGAACAATAAGATTTCAATTAATGTGAAAATGTAGGAAAATGTAACCACATGTTAAAATAAATATTTTGGAGAGGAGAAAAGCATTTTGTTACAATTTCTATTTCAAGAACTCATTCTTTTAACTTTGTTTCACAATATTCATTATAAATTGTTGTGTTAAATTGAGAACATTTACTTAAGCAAGTAAACAGACAGAAAACTTGACCATACGAATCTTTCTGAGTAGCAGATTCCATATTCACAATTCACATGCGCACCACAGAAGACACTAATGGGAGAAAGAAAGAAATCGTACGTCAGTATAGAGTTAGACTATTTCTGCAGTGGATATTCCCTATTTGTCAAAATAGGTGATTTAGCAGCAATGGATAGACTAAGATTGGCTAAATAATAATGCCTGAGGCCCTTTTAAACACCTCTGATCTGTAATTTTTTTTCAGCTAGGGTGCTTGGTGTGGGACCAGGACAGCTGATGGGGAAATCCGACATCAGAGAGGTAGATCAGGGCTTAATCCTCATCCACTTTCTTCATTTTGGGAGACAGTAAAAGCGCAGCAGAGATTACTTTTGTTTCTGGAATGTGATGCATGAAAACAATCACTATTTTGTCTGCAGCAAGAATATCCTACTATGTGTGAGTACAAGGGCAGTAGAATAAAACATTACTAGCCAAAGCATAAAACTCTAAATATGAGATATACTTTCTTGGATGAAGTATGAAACATAAAACAAAAAGGTCAAAACTAGAGCTGCCTTTAAACTAAAGCAATGCTTGTAAAACTTAGCTGTTTCATGCATAACACTTGTAAAGTATGGAAACCAAATCCCCTTAACAGTCATTAAAACCAAGCGCTGTTAAATCCGAAGACCGTAAATAGTAATGGCAATTCCTAGAGTTAACTGGACACTGTACATGCTACACTAACCAAGGAAAACATACAGCCTTTGGGTTAGAGCCTTTAATTCTGCATACTGTTAAGTTTGTCAGCATTTTACTGTATTGATTTTAAAGGTTCAGAAACAGTAATTAATGTGACAAACTCCTGGATAATTTCATGAAATTCTGATTAAGTTTGTCTATTTCACTGCATTTGGGGAAAAAAGTATTTTGTAAAATAAAAATTCAGTGCAGAATGTTCTGCTTTTCTAGAAAAAACTATTTATGTTGCAAAAGGTGGAGTTTACATTCTAGATAGACACCATTAAACTTAAATGAGTGCCTTTTATTGGTCTCTCTGATTCTTACATTCCTCATCATCAGACTCAAGAACATTAAGCGAAATTCTAAAATATTTCTATTATCAGTTAAATACTGAGAGTTTAACAAAGAGGAAAACCTTATTTAACTCACTGAAACTTCACTGCTATTTCAATTAGAAACAGAATCCACCCTAAAATGCCTGGTACATTCATTTATTTCTGTACCAGCTCTTCCCCATCAACTAAGAGCTCTGTTGTGTTTTGTAAACCAGGGCAGCGTACTCTACAACTATCTCTTTATCTTTTTTTTTTTATTTTGAAAAGCTACAGCCTGGCTCAGCTTTCAGCCACATGGTTTTGTTTTCCAATAAATCCAAGCTTTAGTGTCAGGAAGACATCTATATTATTCATTCCATAGTGCATGTAAATATAAAATGGGATTTAACCACAAAGCTTTGGCAAAAATCGTGATATAGTTATTCTGTCGTGTGTTCTTCAAAAGCTAATTCAAGGCTTTCCATACAGTGCACAGTGTTACATGGTACTTTCAAAGTATATCGTGCCTTCTTCTCCTTTTACTGGTGAAAACTGGACACTTTCCACCGAAGTAAATGAAGCTGCATTTAAAAGCTAGATAAGATGATGAACTGCATGATAAAAAGGAGGAGGAAGGGGGAAGTAGAATTGTTGCCTTAATTTCTGCTTCATATACAAGCATTCAAAACATGCAAATTTTCCATTTTACATTTCTATTATGAATGTGAAGTGTGTGGGTATATATATACAAACCTGCATATATGAAGTGTGTGTTTGTACACATATATAAGTATGTATAGGCACACTTCAAATTTATATTTCTTTTTCCCTCAGTAGAGTAAGCAAAATCTTATTCTACAAAATACATATAACTTTCTTAATGTTAATTAATTAATCCAAAAATCCACTGGTTATTCGTCTGAGACCGCCTCCCCAGATATCAAAGTCTGCTTTCCACCCCTGCACCCCACTTCGTCCCATTCCAATGTGCCGACACCAACGGCATTCCCATACCACTCCCTACGGCTGCTTGCAGCTCCTCCCTTGTATCCCATTCCAAAAATGCTGTTGCAGTGTACAGTTTGCCACAAACAAGGTAATGTGGACAGGCCTTGCAGCATACCCCCTATTACAACGTAAAGACACACCAACCGAGCAGTCTTCTCCATCTAAAGTAATAACAGTTTACTGCACAGTCAAACTGAGATTTGTTCTTGTGAAAGCAAGTAGCATTAGGAGGCAAGTTCTGAACGCACCACTTAAGAAATTCTCAATAAAGACAAAAGCAACAGTGCAATGTATGTACAACTCCAAAGCACTGGATTCTAAATCAAGTTCAATAAATACACCTTACAAAGGATAAATATCTATATTTAAGCTAAGGTGTACCAGTTTGCTGGAAGCTTGTAAAATATCTGCCCAGAATGAATGAAACAGCAATTACAGCTTCGTTCATTAATATACAGTATTACTAGTTCTACATAGATACTTAAAAGTTGTGCTCACAGAATATGACATTCAATTTAATGCACTGTACCCTGAAACATGACAGCATCTGTCAGGGCAAAAAATTAAAAGGCTGGACAGGATGGTAACCAGTTGCTAAAGATTAATGCAGCAAAACATACCCTTCTGCACCTGGGTTGTCTGGGGTTTCATTTGGGTTCTCTTAATAACAAAAAAGCTCACCCCCAGTTACTTTCATCTCCCTCTGCTTTCTTTTATTTACCAGTAATGACACGGAAGTATATAAAAACGGTCATTCGTATCATTTTTGCTATAGATATCTGCAGTATTTATTCTTTTTCTTGCTTTGCTTTCTTAATTGGTGGCAGAATACTCTCTATCGAATGTAACTATATACAAATAGTCCTTTACCCAGTAGCAATCCATCTCTTGAGTTTTAAATTATTGTAGAAGAATGCTTGGTAGCAACAAATTAATATTGTGTGCAATAATTATAAAAAAGAGTGAATAGTAGACTGATGTTGAGAAAAACAGAAGAGTGTGAAACAATCTACTTGTATATCAGGAGATAGCTACTAAACTTGGAAAGATATTGCTGTCCATTTAATTATGCATCCTTGCAGTAACTGATTTCATTAACCATTTAGTCATCAACCACTATGCTTTCAATAGCACTTTAGATCTTATGCACATACAACCTCACAGAAATAAGATTTTGGATTGTAATCTTCCTCCAAAATATGAGGGAATTGGCTCCCATCTAGGATAAAGAAGCACTTGTTCTTTTGTTCCTGGAAAAAATCAGAATTGCTGGCTTCAATCTGCAAAAAATGTGAGAACTCCTCACTGAATCTCACTTTAATCCAGAAATTCTTAACCTGCCTATCCCCATTAGCAACAGTCCTCCTCAAATTATTTCTACCCATATAACTTTTGCGCTATCTATCTAGACCCCAAAAGACTATTTGGTTTCACTTAAGAGCTAGAAAATCTCTGACTCTGCTCCAAATATGTACCCATTCTCCAGCCCTTGCTGCTGTAGCTAAGTCACAGCTAAAGGACAACCAAGTCATGTCCAGAGATACTAGTGGAAAGGGGCTTTGCTACAAAGACCCTCAGACTTCTAGGTCCAAAAGGTAAAGACAAATGCTAGTGCCACAATAACTTAATTTATTCAAGAGTTACTGAGAGTTTAAAAATTGAGAGGTTAACTACATAGTTAGTGGGTTAGTTCCAGAGGTTTCAATACATATTTGACTGGAGATTAAATGGTTCATAAAAAAAAGGAAATGAAGTTGTCTCTGTACAGTCCTTACTTGGCAAACAAAAATAATACCCCTCAATTTCAGAAACTTCTTTGATTTAGTAACCAGGTTTCTTCTCCTTTAACAGTGTAAGGCTTACCTATCTGTAAATAATCTGAAAACAGACCTCACTGGTCTCATTGGTGCAGGCTGTAACGGGAACTTAAATCTGACCATCTCATGCGGAAGCTGTGCAAAGACGCTCAAACTAGATCAGATGATAGCAACAGCAACTTCAGGTGAACTATGTCTAAATCAAAGCACGTATCCAAACTTGACCTCTGAGGGTTAGTTTCCTTTTAACCTCGGTAATGCCAACTTTCTCAAGTACTTCCACGGGAAGAGTTACAAGCAATGACATCACAGCTGGAGGCTCATGGAAGTTCTAATATAGACAAACATAAGTGGCACAAGCACATCTAAAAGCTGACCCAACTATTGTGCAATTACATTTTATCACCACAGAGGTTACAAGGTTGTATTTACTTATCAGCAAGAGCTGTCAGCCTTCAAAAGGCCTCTCTAAAACATCTACCAAAAGTTTTATATTCATTATTTGTTTGATAATAGAAGTATTAGTATTACAGCAGCACTCAGAAGGCATATTTATGGATCAATGCTTGTACTGGGAGCTGTTCAAATGCAAAACAAAGACATGCATTTAGTACTGAAGAGCTTATAAACACAAAATCAGTGCACTTTCTTGAAATGTCCAGGGAATAACCTATTATTTCTTGATATTTATATGCAAACATATCTCTATTGAAGTTTTCCAGCAATACCTTTATTCCCTCATTCAATGTACTGATCCATTGCTATCGCATTCTGTACTCAATATATGCTGCAAATACCATACAGCATACTCTGTTACAACAGGCATGATGATTGACCTTTAAAATTTGCATATCATTCACTCTAAATTTGTTTCCAGAATGTGGTATGCATCTGAAATAGAGGGAAATTGTCAGAGAAACAGCCAAAAAGCTGGGTGCTTATCTAAAATGTATCTTGAAGGCTAGTTTGGAAAACTGAGAATTGGGTTTAAGGAAAACAAAAAAATAAAATAAAACCAGCCTTTAATGTGGTACATTGGAATCCATACCTGCAACCAGCATGGCAAACCATAGTGGCCTTCAGAAAAAGGAGATGAGGTTGACCAACCTTTTTCTACCCTTAGAATACTTTTAATTTGAATTTTGTTTGTATTGTGGCTAAGGGTCTATCCAAAACAAACTTCTGCTTTGCTTGGGCCTCAAAATTACCATGGATTTCATTGTCTACAGAGATGCAGGTGCTGATCTAATTTATAGCAGCTGCAGAATACTTAATTAAGCCTTTTCTGGCCATCTATACCTGTCTGCTTCTGTACACATCATCATGCAGTGCAGGATAGATAAATGCTTGAGTGTCAAACATTAAGCAAGGAGGTGCAATCATATTTTTTGGTTTGGGTTGTGTATTATTTTGGCAAAACATCTGAAAATATCACAATACCTTACTCAGGCAATTCCATTTCAGGAAAAGAGAAGGAATGCATAGACTGGAAAAAAAAAAAAAAAAAAAAATCAGCCTCTCCAAGCCTTTCCCTAAATGAAAACGGGACACAGGAGATTCTGTGATAATCATATGAACAAGTAAATGTAGCAGCAAGAATGAGAAAGGCGGTTCTTACTCAGCACTAATGCTGGATCTTAATTTCTGGGAACCTTTCCTCTTGGAGAGAAGTATGAGAAAACTTCTTTTGAAATGACCCACTAACAGAGAAGAGATTTAAACCTCCTAAAGCTGCATAAATTAACAAAGAAATACAAAGTTTTCTTCCATCAACTCTAGATGTTGTGTGAGATATTGGAAGACATATAAAGATTTTAAAGATGGGGACTGCCAGTGCAGTACTTCGTGGTTGGCAGGAACCTGCCTGATCCCTTCTGTGAATTCAAGTTGCCCCACAGCTGCTCTGATTTAGTCTCTGTTTGGACACAGGCCCTTCAGAGAACAAAGAGACACCAAAACACAGCACTTCTGCCTCCAGTATGCTCTTCTGTCTTAGAGACTGAGCTGAACAGTTAATATGTTGTACTTCTTGAGTGAAGGCTGCTTAAAGATCTAGGTAGACTTCAATCACAGTTGTATTAAACCATATGATAAACTGCACTTCAACCAAATGCCTTGCTTTAAAAAATAAAAGTCTAATGTTTCTGAGGTATATGAAGATGCAGAAAAATCAGACAGATGAGCAGCAGTTCATGAAAATAACATTCCCAAAAAATATTCTTCAAATACATCCTGTACTTAAACCCTATTAAGATGGGGAATTGGCTCCAAATTTCCACTTAAGCTCACATTTGATCTATTTTTATGTTTTTGCATAGGAAAAAAAAAAGCCCATTTAGCTTGAAATTTCACCTAATTAACTTTATGTCAGAAGAGACTGAGAGGAGGGGGCAGAACTGAAACTGGTTTCTGAGCTGTTGAGTTTGTCTGAGACTAAAACTTAGCTTGCTGATTTCTGACTAGCACTGAAGAGCTTCAAAGCCCTTCATACACTACTTCCATGCAAGTCTAGACTCACATTTTTGGAGTCCCTAAATCTCAATGGGGGAGAGGTTGGTAGGTTAAATTCTTCCTTTAGTTACACTTAAGTAAAACCACTGACTACATGTGTTATTCCCTAAAATACATACATGTATATATAGACTACATACACTTGGTGGAACGTTGTCATAGGATTATGAGGATGCTTGAATATCTTACAGACAGGCAGTAGCTGGTGGAGGAACTGCAGTAGCTATCCAAAGACTAGTTCTGAGGCAGGAATAGGATCTGGGTGACCACAAGCTTCTATTTAGGGTCCCATCTCAACCTGTGAGCGTAAACTGTATTTCAGCAGGCTTGAGGAGACTTTGGACATGGCATGCGAGCTCCACAGCATCCACACTGAGCACAGATTCGATGTTTCTATAGCTGTTAATTCCTTCATATGCAAATTCAGCCTCATTTTCAAACAAATGAGCAAAATTCAATTAATAGCCTAGGCCTCAAAAGCACTTGTGGCAAAAAGTAGATATCACCAGGTCAGATCTGATTCTAATATTAGTCTGTGCTGTCATTCACAAAGTAATAAATACTATTTTTACACTTTCAGCACAATTTTAGCAGTATCTGGAAAAAAAAAAAAACAACCAAACAAAACAAAACAAAAAAAAACACAAAGCCAATACTTGTCTACAAAGAAGTTATCTCCCACCTCTAGTATTAAAATTGTTAAAAAAGAAACAAAGCAAACATTACAATAAAAAGAAAATCTTTGATAAAAATAATCTCTGAAATACTGTTCATAAGATATTTAAAGGACAGTATCAACTCATGAACTACAGTTTCAGAAACTGCTTTTCGTAACAATGAAACACTTCAGATTACCAGAAGTGGATCAATTTAGCAAACAACCAAACCTCTTTTCACTGTTGACCTAGTGTGTTTGGCAGCCTCTTCCTCCTCTACAGCCTCTTCCCTGCAAACGCCCTTGAAAAGATAAGACAAGGGAACACGAAAAGATTTCACTTTTTAAAAACGGGGGGGGGGGGGGGGGGGGGTTGGGTTGAAGTAACAGCTTTCTGAGAGCCTGGAAAGCAACTGATAATGCCCTAGACTACACTATGTCCCAGCTCTCCACCGAGACCAGAAACGCAGTTTACACTGTCTTTCCAGGCACTCCTGGCGCCACAGCACATACATGTCACGGCTGACGCCCAGCGCTCTCCCAGCCGTTAATTAGCAAAGTGAGGTTTAATTTTACCACCCTCGCCCATTCTTGCCCTGTTTCCAGACCCCGGCTCTATACCACGCTCCTGGGGCTGCTGGGCCACCCCTACCTCACTCAGCCCGGCCCTTTGACGGCCCTGGTGGGCACCCTGAGGGCTTTCGAAAGTGCCCTTCAGTGTTCCAAACAATCAACACCCGCCTATTCCTGAGGCTGGAGGGGTGGGAAGAGGCTGTGGAAGACTCTGGAGGGGACAGCACTGAAATGAAAGCAAAGCGAAGGTCTCTACTAGAGCCAACCCCTCACCGGGACTCGCTACGCCTTCGCTGTGCCCGTCCTTGTTTTAAGCAGCTGCCGCCTGCACGGGGCTCATGTTGCGCCGCCACCACCGCAGCGGGACGGCGACCGCTTCCTTCCCTCCCCGGGACCACCCGCTCTCGCGTTAGCCCGCCCGAACGTACGATACTCCCCGCCCGCCACAGCGCCTGCCCTTGGAAGAGGGGACGGCGGCGAGTAGGAGAGAGGAAGAGCTTCAGGCTGTACCCGGTGCTCAGACCGCACGGGTTGAGGTGGAGGGAGCAGCCGAGCCGGACGCTCCGCCGCCACAACGGAGTGTGAGGCAGTACTCGCGCCAGGGCGGAGCAGGAGCGCGGCGGCCGCTGGGCCGCGCCGCCTGTGGAGATGGCAGCCGGTGGGGACGAAACGGCAGGCGCAGCCCCCGGGCTCATACTGGTCATAAATGAGCAGAAAAGCCCAAAGTAACGTTGTGTGTTAGAGGGGCGAGGAGTCACCCCTCTAGAGCAAGTCGTGGCTTCTGGCCGCGGCGGGGACCCTCTCAGCTCAGCTGCAGGTGCACTGAAATCCGGGTGTTTGGGGTAAAAAAGGTCTTCTTCGAGGCACACCCGAGGGTGTTGGCACAGCATACAGGTACCTTCGAAAGAAGAGATTAAAACCAAACTTTGACACTTAAGCATTTGGCCCAGTCATGGTAATCGGCATTTATTAAATGATGAGACGGCCACATTTTCCCAAATGCACATAAAAGTATAATTTATTTTCTAAGTACCAGTTGGAGGATGAACCCAGTTCAGTAGTTTCATGTTTTTATCAGAAGTGAAATATCTCTATGTTAGGATTCGGATGGAGTTTATTACAGCTTCTGGAAACATTGAGTTACTGAAAAGTGGTACTCTTTTTAGGCTTAAGTGCACATCAGTAAAGACGTGTATCCTTTTTATAGAAGCTGTTTCATAAATTTCTTTAAATGTATTTAAGTACCATAGGTTTGCATTTTAATAACACACTACTTTTGTGCTTTTAAACATCCAAGGTGCCGAACAAGAATTGTAAACTGTGAAGTAACTACTATGGGAAGGCTTAAGTAAAGCATTGGAGGCGGATGATTTTGACAATAAAGAGGGTGTATGTGGTGAGTGTTTAATATTTATTGCATTTAATATTACAAAGTACTATTTATTGTTTTCAGATTTAATGTTAAAAGCAAAGCCTGGAGAGCAAGTTCTACTGTATTATGTACTTAAAGGTACACCTGTGACAAAGGCTTTCTGTAATCATTTCTTGATGTGTATAACACCATTCTAGTATTAGCATGCCATTTTATTTAAAGTTCATATGTCAGCTGTGCCTACCTAGCAGATTTATTTTTTTTACAATTAAATGATTTTACAACACAACATCTTCAGCTCTTTGTGATGGGTTTACGAAGCATTTAAACTGTGCTCCTGGAACATATATCCTGTTATCTTTGAAATTATCCGAGTTTGCATCTTTTGTTCATAATAAAAGCATATGGATTGAGGGAATATTCTGAATGAACAAGGAACAAATACAGTACCGTTGAATAATCTTGTGGGGTAGATTAATCTATAGCCTTGATTCCTCACAGGGTGGGTTGCTGTGGCAACCACCCCAGCTCACTTTAAAATAATTTTTTTAAGCTCACTTCAAGCGCTGCACCCAGCGTGGGCCAAGTTTAAAAGCAGACAGACATGGGAAGAAGTGTTATATACTGTGTTGCTCTTACAAAGAGGGAGGTGATTGAGGAGAGGGAGGCGTGGAGTAGAGTGGGGTTGAGCAGAACTTTAGACAGAAAATAGAAACCAAGCCACCCCAGGGTTAAGATGCAAAGGGGGTGGATCATTTCATAGTAACCTTAGTGCTTTTCAGTTTAAACACCATTAGAAGATGTAAGCTGGCAATCTCATTTCTCCTAAGGGGAAAGATATGTTCTGCATCCACAAAAGAACAAAAATGGGCTTTGATAATCATCTTCAAAGGAAATGTTACCTTGAGATAATCGCACTTGTAAGGGAAAGAGATACTTGGATACACTGATAAAACTTTGGAGATGTGATTTTATAATTATTGCATTTTGACTGTTGCCTCATTGTTTAAAACACTGCATGCCTCAGGTGGCGGATTAAGGAAAAAAGCCCCAAAAGTAATTTTGTCAGCAGACCTACACATGACCTGTGGACAGCAAAAAACAGTAGATATGGGTCTCATGCCAGAAATCTGAAAAGGGTGTATTTGTAGAGCATCAGTACAAGTACAGACAGCAGAACAAAGGTTTTCCACTGTTTGAAATTATTCCAGATTTTAAAATTAAATGCAGCAAAAGGGGGGCAGGGGAGGTCCTGAACACTTCAAAAGGTACAGCATAAATTCATGCCTCATCTAACCCTGAAAGGACTGGGAAAGCCTGATCCCTCCCGTTGTATGTTTGTCCATGTAACATCTGTACCCTGTTTTAAAAATCGAGGTGTCCTTTACGTGGATTTGATGAATTGTGACAAAAACTTGGCATGGCTTTAAGGTACTTCAGTATGTGAAGGTCACAACTATTTAAAGATTAGGCCACAAGTACCCACAGAGAGATATAGTAGATGTGCTAAGCTGCTGTGTACTTTTATTTTCTGAAATATTTGCCCACTCTAGTAATTGCTTTCAAAATATGACAATGCTCATGTTCTGCCTGGCCAGTTGAAGGGATGTGTTACCAACTAGCCAGAAACCTGGCAACTTACACATCCTGCACAAAATAAAACAGATGCCAGTCATTTTCAATTACAGTACAAAAGTGTGAAGTCTTAACACAGCTTTCTATTTTTCACCACTAAGAAAATAGGAATGTTGCTGGATAGTTGGGTGCCGTGATGGGAATTGTGTGCAGAAGAGGCATAGCAAGGGTACAACCCATGTTACTGCTCTGTATCCCCTTACTGCTGCACTTCACACCAAACCTGAGGCTGAGAAAGTTATTTCTTCTCCACCATTATGCAGGCTCTGCTGCTGACACTGCTGAGCATATGTGGCTCTCACCACCGTATGTATGCACTGTGCTGGGCTGGTGCCTGGCTGCCTGGTGGCTAGGGGCACGTCAGTGTTACTGTTGTGGGTGGGTTTATAGCCAGTAATCGCCAGTCCTGTGAGAGTTGGCCACTCTGTATCTAAATCTCACCAGGACAGAGTGAGGCATGATGAGATCTGAAGTGACTAAAGAGTATTCTCAAGGGATCTGCCTTGAGAGCAGTCACAGGGTGCTTGTTAGAACTGCCTGAGGTTTGCTCTGCTCCAACTGTGCTTTGAGCATCCATGTTTTAAGAAGAGCAATTGAACCAAGAAGGCATTTATTCACTGTCAAAAACGGAACTTCAGAAGTAGGTCAGTGGCCCAATGAGATGTTTATAGGGAAAAAGACTGCGAGACCAACGGCTTGCATTAAAATAAACCAAATACACATTTATCACTGCTGTTGAATTCAGTCATTTGGTTTTATCATGCGTGCTGTTCCTATTTCCAGTACCTTAATCTATCATAAAAATAATGGTCTGTGCCTTTATAAACTCCCCTGCTGCTCTCGAAGCGTCATGAAAGTTGGCTTTTCTACACAGAAATTAAAACTTCTGCTACCTGCAGAAGTCCAGTTTTACTCACAAATTAGTCCATGTGCTTAATGTGGATTCGAGCTCCCTTAACAGTACAACCCTTTCAGTCTGGTTTTAGAAGCAAATGAACCTATATTAAACAGCGCCTTGTCCTTTTGCACGGTGTGCTGGTAACACTGCAGTTCTGTGGGTAAGTGGGACCCCGAGCGGGACCCGAGCGGGGTTTCGCCTGGAAGAAGGGATGCTGTCCCCCCACTCCGCCGCCGGGGGAGCCGCCCGCAGCGCCGTGCAAGCCGGCCGACTTTGGGAAGTTGGGCTGCTGAGGAGCGGAGCGCAGGGAGCGCTGGAGCTCGGCAGAGGTGCGAGGAGAGGGGCAGGGGCTCTCCGGGTGGGGGTGCCCCCTTAGCTCCGTTCTGCTCCGGGGGTCGGTGACAAACGGCGATGGCGGCGGCCCCGCTGCCTCCACCCCTCCTGAGGTGCCACTGCCGGGTGTCGGTGGGAGCAGACCGGAGGTGTCTTGGGGTGGCAACACGGGGGAACATGGCAGAGACCCCGCTGCGGGTAAGTGCCGCAGAGGAGCGCTGACCCGCTGCCCACCGCCAGCCTGTCCTGCGCCCCGCCTGGGCTCGGTGTGAGCAAGGGTTGTCATTAGGTTTGCGTGTGGCATATGCCATTACCCCGCCGTAAAACTAAAATTAGCAAAATGTCAGGAATGGAAAGATTGATTCACCCGAGATGCAATTATCATTTAAAACTGCTTGATTGAGGTGCTGATGTTCAGTGATTTATTCTGCATACCATATACATAATTAAAGTAGTGCAGTGGAGTAATTTATCAATCTAGTTTAGACTAGAGGGGCAAGGAAGACAGCTGCTGCCGCTGCTGCTGCTCTGTTTGTTTTATTAAAACCCTTTCGGGATCTGATCCCGCCCCCTTTTTGCAAGAGTGAAACTGATTATTTCTCCAGCTCGGGAAGAGAGAGTCATTCGTTTGGGATTGTGGGAGAGAGAGAATGAAATAAGAGACGCGGAGAAGAAGAAGAAAAGGGAGGAAGAGGGAGCGAAGCAGAGAAGGACACCTCGTCAGGCGTGTAGTCTGAAAGCTCGCCTACCCCCTCCCCTCTGCGATGTTACAAAGGCTGTGAGCAGCTCGCTTTTTCCCATTCGCCTGCTGTTACTTCCTTCCTGGACGCTTTCAGGACGAGTCCGGTTACTTTTAATCCGACCAGCAACAGCTCAGCCACTTTCTCCTCCTCCACGCTGCACACACGCACACACACACACACACCCCAGACGTCTTCTGGCTGCTTATTGGATTGACTTTGACGGTTGTGTGTGTGATTCAAGGAGGCTGCATATTGAACGAGGTGGTGAATATTTAAGGCTGGAAGAAGTAAAGGGATTTTTTCTTTTTCCTATGAAAGGAAAATATCTCAAGGACTAGTCTGATCATCCAAACAGCTAAATGTTTATAATGTAAGTACTCCTGAAATTCAGTATTGAGTAAAACATAGAGGGCATCATACAAAAG